CAGACAGTATAATGAATAGAGATAAATTTCTGTTCTCCTCTTCTTGCACCCTCGGCACAGTTCCCGTATTTTCCGGATATAAGGCGCACCTACAAAAGGGCGCACTATCGCTTCGGATGAGCTTCTTCCTGACATTACTTTTTGCGGGGGTTTGTTCGTTCCTATCCATATTAATTACGTTAATTCAATCGGAAGTGCTTAGAAATTCAATCAGAAGATCAAACTGTATAAAAGCGTGAAAACACAACTTTTGGCGCGCGCAATCGCGATCACCTCAGCGAAATGCTCAGAAAGTAGGGTAGTTGTAAGTAGCTTTGGTTTCTGGGCGCCTCAAGGAGCGTGATGAGTGGCAAGTTTATCGAAGTCCCCCAACATTTTTACTGAGTCGCGGTCTTTAGAAGGCCTAAACGTAGTTCACAGTTTGGATTTATGCTCTTATCCACAGAGCACCTCATCTTCTACAGCGCTTTCGACGTCCTATCGCTTCCAAAGCCATGAACCTGGAAAAGAACATCAAGCAGCATAGAGCGCTTTATGGCGTAGGGGGTGCAATTCGCACTGTCGCTAGTTCCTGCTAAATTACGCGTTTCACCTTGATGAGACCCGTAGACTTGCCAAGTGCAAAGTAAGTTCTTGCCTTTGCACAGGGTTATAGGAATTCACGAGTCTCTACCGGCTGCACCATTAGCAGGGCGCGTCCGTTGGGAAATCCCCAGCGGGGGGGAAGGAGGAATGGTCGTAGTTGGTCGCTAGAGAAAAGAAATCGTATCTGGTCTGATAGGATATGTTTTTGATAGTTGAATTTTCCTGTTCCCCCCCCCCGGACAGCGAAATTTTTGGGAGATTTTGTACATGCAAGACAGCTGATAGAATGGGGACGATGGGATGGGGGTGGCCGTAACAGAGGACGAAAGTGAGGGGGGATCGGTTTTTCCGGAAATTGTCCTCAGCGGCACGACGTGCCCTATCGGCTGTGATCGATGAGAACCGGTAAAATGTCCCTTCAAGCCAAAGTACGCCGCAGTTCAGAAGAATAAACGCATTACGGGTTCCACCTCTTGGGAGGGAAGAAGTTACCACACTTATGATCGAATACTAATCAAGTCAATCCCCCTCGAGGCTGATTTCCCAGGACAAGACTTGTCTGGGAACGCAGAGTGCTGAAACGAATAGTCGCTTGCTAATGACAACCACTGAAAAGGCTTATATGGTTGCAAACGTTTTTGCGATTCTAGATGGAGGTTGGATGCGTGGCGCGCCCCATTCATTGTCTCCGATCACTTTCTTCACCAACTACTTGTTACTTATGAATTTATGAGAAATTAAGACATATCTTTTAAGGTTCCCTGGCCCTCTGGGCTCGACAAAAATATCCAGAGCTGATTGCTGGTGCTGTCGGTAGCTCACCACTGCTACAGCCAAAAGTTGATTTTTGGGGTAAGTACAGTGATAAAACCTGCCAACGAGAGGGTATGTGAAGGGGCGTGAATTGGAGAGCAGCCAAGGCAGACTTTTCAGCTGGAACGGCTGCCCTGATAGTGCTCCAACCCATGCCCCGTCATATTATTAACAGGACACCTCATTCAGGGCACATCATCGTTGGACATTTCAACAGAAGGGGGGGGGAGGTCGTATCGGTCGTTGCTGGGGAGGGAGGTCGTATTGACTTTGCGGTGTTGGGAAAAATTTTTTCGGCTTGTGGAGTTTTCGCGGTTTCTTGGTGTTTTCTGTAATTGACTTGTGCTATATACCCCTCCCCCGCTCAACAGTGAAATTTTTGAGAAATGGGAAATTTCGGAAAAACTGGTAGAAAGGTGGGGAAAATCTAAGAAAGTGGTAGGTAATATGGGTTGGGGTCGTATTTTCCTCGCGACTTTTTCCGTTTCAGGTGCACAGTATCTCTCTCTCTCTCTCTCTCTCTCTCTCTCTCTCTCTCTCCTTTCTTTCTTTCTTTCTTTCTTTCTTTCTTCTCTTTCTCTTTCTCTTTCTCTCTCCCCCTCTCCCTTCCCCCTCCCCTCTCGACAGCTCGATCAGAGGAGGGAACAGGGAGAGGGGGTGGGGCGTGGGGGTCGTACGGTCGCGGCAGAATTCCCCAACTGATTATGTGCCTTGATCTCATTCTGTTCCCTCTACGGACTTGCAGCTACCAAAAAGGGAGTAAAGTATGCTGTGAAATAAAAAAACAATTGTTACATTTCAGAATATATAGAAATGGCTGAACAAGTATATCGTAGACATGACAACAAATGTGGCCAGAATATACAAATTGCATTTGCACAGGTGATCGACATGCTGAACACCAAACTTGGCCGAGAACAATTGTCCGAATTTTTCAAGTGAGCACCATTCTTTTTTCCAAATACTGTTAAAATACACGCCCCACACTCAAAAATAGTCTTTCGTATGGCTCAAATATCAACTACAAATGGCGAACAACATAAAAATGCAGAGAAAACACGCTCGCAATGCTCCACTAGAACCCGCGCCGTACCGGTTCAGCCTCGCAAGGCGAAGAAAAGGCGTGGTCGGACGAGTTCTCCACTTTTGCTGCTAGCTCTTTTGTTTTATCTCCCCACTCTCACCATTCGAAATGGAGAGATCTAGTAGCGGAACTACACCAGCCTTTGGAAATGAAGGGGCGAGCGGGTCGCGCCCTCCTCACGTACTTGAGCTGCAAAAGTAGTACAACCCCCATGCTTTTGGGCAAATCTAAAGAAGTCGTCTGGACA